TATATATATACAGTGCATGATGAAGTGTTCTGTATGCTAACTGAAATAACTGCTAAACATTCTATGATATACGGCAAGCTACCTTGTCTTCCTAGATATTACATTCATAAGGAAAAAAACAAGAATACTATCTACCTAAAACATACAGGAGATGATAAATGCTTGTTGACAGAGTGATGCGTAAATAATTAAACAGTGAAAATATAAAAGCTAAAGGGTAAAAAACGTAAACCCAAGTGCTCAAAAGAAAAAAAAATAACTACTGCAGCTACAAGCACCTAAAAGAGAAAATAATTTATTGATTAGCAGAAAATAAAGAGAATTTTTAGCCCACTAGATTAGAAGAAAACACAAGACAGCTGCTCAATAATTTTTTCCCCAGAGCAAAGCTATGGATTTCTTAGAACTGAGCAGCTGACAACCAAGTGCTACTTCCATAACACTTTTTTTAACCTCCATTTAAAATGCCAGTCACTTGAGACAATTATATGTTTTGTTATGTTCTACATAAAAAGAAAATTTTAGACCTTCCTTTAACTCTACAGTACAGGAAAGTTCCAAAATAAAATAACGATTTAAAAACAAAGTTTACTTTCAATATTTCTATGGTTACCAGTATTAAGAAGGGAAACAAAAAGCCCTGAATGCATCTAAAATGCTGAGAGTCATTCTACAAAAACCAGCTAATAAAGACAGAACATGTATCTCATTCCCTCAAGGTGGAAGTTAGTGGGGGGTTCTTGCCTTAGTGATGGTCTCTAACTTGGACTCACTTCTTCCCTTATTTCTTAAAAATAAATCTTAGGCTACTGTTTGACTTTTAAAATAGGTAATTCCAAACTTCAAGCCAAATCAAGATTCTACAAGAGAAGAGATCCCAGAAAACTGGCATTTTCATAATCATTGAATCTTAGGGAAAGTTTTTAGAGTTTAAATCTCTTCCATAATTGAACAGATGTAAGATGTTTTTACTTATAACTCGATAAATGTGACTTATCTATTATGCCAGGATTTTTACCAAGAAGTATGTTCTATTTTATAATCTTAAAACTAGCAAAAATGATATGAAATACAAAGAAGAAATATTTTTGCTGGCTGGTTGTGATGTGATGGGGAAGCTGGCTGATGTGTGATGTGATGGGGAAGCACAGACCCAGGTTAGGAGAAAGGAATTCTAGTCTGAGCTGTCCAGTCAAAGGCTGGCTGAGACTCTGAGTCTCAGTTTCTTCAGCCATAAAATAAGTCATCAAATAATTTTAAACGTCCCTTCAACTTACAGATACTGTCTCCATTCTGAAAAGAGTGCACCTGTCAAATTAAAATGGCTGCCCTTTAAAAAACCTGCCAAACAAGAGTCCAGGGTAAAAGCCAATCAAGGACTCATACAATGTGGGTGTCTTCTAGTCAAGAGAGTTTTGAGACAGTGGTAAAGCCATGTCAGCAGACATTAGAAAAGGAAGACTAAAGAACTGGAAAAGGGGATTAAGTGACTGAATAGTTAAAGAAACCTCAAGAGCACCATAATGAGCATTTCCCAAATGCCTAATTCAACAAGTGACTTTAAGGATGACAATAGATTCAGTGCAACAAACACTGGCAGAGGCTTACTCCACTGCAGAAATTATAGTAGGGCTGGAGATGTAACAATAACCAAGGGATACAAGTGAACTTTCTCAGTCTAGCTGAAAAGTCTTGCTCAAAGCAATACTTTAAATGTAAATTTCAAGTGTTGTAAAAAAAGTATGTACAGAGTTGTATGGGGTGGGGGGACTGCAGGGAGTAACAGGGTTAACAGGAAAGACGTCAAGAAGAAGCATGATGCTCCAGCTGCAACCTGAAAGGAGGGTGAGAGCAGGTGCAATCAAAAAGAGAAGGGCAAGAAATGACTGACCAAAGAGTAATTTATTACAGCAGAGCATGATGTCTGACATGGGCAACTGAAGACAGTGAAGTGGAAAGACGAGTCAAGATGAGATATAGCAACAGTGAACTTCAGAAATACTTAGAGAAAACAAGCTCTCATAGGGATGATGGTCAAAAAAAGAGAACCTGAGGACATGGGTGATTGTGTGGTTTTGATGCTTGCAAAGGTGTGGAGAAATAGGAACCTTATTACACCCTTGGTGGGAATGGAGGATTAAGACAGCCCCATGTGTGGAGGAGACTCCTCAAAAGACTAAAAATGGACCAACATATGACCCAGCAATGCCACCCCTAGTACTTAGCCAGGGCATACAAAAATACTTATTTGAAAGGAAACTCCTATGTTTATGTTTACAGCAACATGATTTACAACAGTGAAGATATGGAAATAAACTAAATGTCCCAGAACAGATGAATGGATCAAGAAGATGTGACAGATATACACAAAATGGACTACTACTCAGTGGTAAAAAAGAAATTCATGTCATTTGCAACATCACGGATGGAACTATGTGGAGTAAGTCAGAAAGATAAATACCAGGAGGTTTCACATACATATGGAATTTAGAGAAACCAAACAAAGGGTCAGACAAACTGTTAAGACTGATCCCTGAAAGCAGAGTGTAGATCTAAGACACTCAGGAGGGTAGAGGAGGGAGTAGAGAACAGGAGGGAGGAGAATGCAGGGGTGGAGGCCTGAGGCACCTCTGTGATGGGGAAACTATGGTTACCCTGCCTGACGGGAGAAAAATAAACAGGACGCTTATAATTGTCTAAAATTAATTTTTAAAAAGAAAGACTTAAGAAAAGTGACAAGTAAGAAAACTATTAGGTTGGAGCTTAACTCAATTACTATTTTTATCACTGAAATTCAAAAGAAGAAAACCTAAAATATTTTTTACAACAGATTTAGTCTTTGAAAATAAGCAGATATAAGGAAAACAAAACTAAATAGGGCATTCCCAGCACTCCACATCAAAGAAGTTCCAAGCGATTTTGGACCAGAGAGTCAAATCCTAAGTTTTAATTTAATCTCAATTTTCCCAACCCCTTTAAAAAATGGGATTAAAAAGAAGGGAAGAATACCCCTCTTTTGAGGTAGTTTACAGAATCTTGAGAAACCTGAGTAATGGACCCATCTGGCCCACAGAAACATCTAGAACAAAGTCCTGTCTCTGCTTCACCTATGGGTACCAATTCATTATCATGGTGACACCAAAGCCTGCAGTCAGTGGGTTTGGGATTGAGCCCCAAAACACAAGGAGGGACTCACAACAAAGCCACTCAGCTACACCCAGGCAGTGTGCTGTGTCAAAGATGAAGTCAAAAGCAAATAGTGAGGAGGCTTTATGTGGAGGTATAAACCCAAAGAAATCCTCACAATTACTGCTGAAGTGAGAAAATAACAGTATAGGTAGAGTTTAAAAACTAAAAGGGTGTTAGGATAAAACTAAGATACTAATATGTTTTATTATTGGTGTAGAAACATAGCTCTTGTAGGATAATTATGGGATTATGTGTTCTGGGAGTTTAGAACTCCGAAATCAGTTTTCTATCACAAAACAAAATGGGTAGACAGTGGTTTTATAAACTACTCCAATTCCCCACAGCTTCAGCAATGTACTCCCTACGTGTTTTGGGCACTCTCTCTGCCAGCCTCCCCTCCAACATCCTTTCAACATTCCATGAACAGCATAGGGTGCTTTTTATTGCACAGTGCTATGTACAAATAGTTATCTGTCCTTGACAAGACTGTGATCCATCTAAACACCTCCAAGATGGGTAACCTGTTTATGTTCTTTGCTTGGTCTTCAAAAAAGGTATCATAGTAGTATAGGTAGAAAAACAGGCAGACAGGTTACCTGGTCAGTGGGTTGCCACTGAAGTCAGCTATCTGTAGTGCTTTACAGAATGAGATGCTTTCTGGAATTTCAGGAATATCTGTAGGAGTAAAGAAAATGTCTATCATTAACCATTCTTGCTAACAATTTTCATCATCCTCAAAACAGATCAACAGGCACAAAAAAAGATTATCTGGAAATTTTTAGCTCCTTCAAATGTGATGTGTAGTTCTGAAGTGTTTTTCTACCATTAGTTTATATTTGTTTTCTTAAAGGAAGACATTTTATTAACAGAAACACAAACAAAAATATTAAAAACAACCTCTACAATCAATCCCCACCACCCTATCAAATGTCACTGATAGCATTCTGTTGTAATTTCCACTGTATCTTTCCCTTAAATTTTCACATTTGCATCAGTGCATAGAATTCCAGAGCACACATTTTTAAATTACATACTTTCATCTAGTTATAAATGTGACAATTTGGAAAATGCAAAAAAACCAAATGAATACTGTCATTACCCAAGAAGTAATGTTACATTCTGATGCATTTTTTAGCTAACATTCACACACAAACACACACACATGCAGTTTGTTATAAACAGATACTTTAAAATAACAGACTCATACCTGTTTTTTTTTTCATTTTACATTATTTTACAAATCTTCTATTATTTTTTCAAAGTTTGGCATTCTTAATGCTGAAAAGTCCCACTGTGTGTGTTTTTTTTAAAGGTTTATTTATTTATTCATACAGAACTGGGGTATAGGCCAGAGGTGCAGGGGCAGTGACAGAGTGGGGAGCAGAGCCAGGTAGATGTACTGAAATACACTGCTGAGGGGTCATGAGAGGTCTGCCACGCCTCATGGGTCACCCCCCTGACGGGGATTGAACTTGTGCTGCAGTGGCTGCAACAGCCTCATAGTGTTGTGCTTTAACCTGTTGCACTACCAGGGAAGGTACCCTACCGTGTAATTTTTCATACTTCATTTAGTCAATCCCCTGTTGTTGACATTTAGGTTGTTTCCAAGTTCCTAATGTTTTAATTATATTTATGTCCATTTCTGATTTTTTCTTGGGCTAACTTCCCAGAAGTGTAATTACTGTGTAAAAGGCATTAACATCTCCACAATACTTAATAAATATCATTAAACTGCTTATAAGAGGGACAAGTTAAACCTATTTACACTTCCATCAGCATATATATGGTGTTAAATTCAGCATCTCCTCCCCTCTGTTTTTCCTCTTAAGTTAAAAAAAAAAAAAAAGATGCCAATGGTGAACCGGTATTAGTAAAGTGCTCCGGTAACATTTTGTTTCATATTCCTTTTATTACTAATGTGGAATGTCTTTGCCCATGTTTACTGGCAACTAAACATTGTGATTTTAAAATGACCAAAATTGTTACTTGAAATCTGTTTCTTTTGGTACAAAACCTGAGATTATAACTTTTAGAATTTTAAAAGGTTAGTTCATAGTGCTGAATTTCAAAAGCCTACTTATTTTGGAAACATTAACATAATGATGGGCTAATATAAAAAAGGTTCTCCTGGTATCATACTGTTTCTTCCACCAATATGACAAATGCAAGCTGAGCCAAAACATATCTAATATTTCTAAAGTGGGAGTGTCAGAGGAAAGGAAAGGCCAGTGTCAGTGCCCTGGCCCAACAATTGCAAAGTATTCAGAAAGTACATAAAAGCTCTTAGTTCAAAGTTATATGCTTTAAGCATTTAATTTATGGTAACATTATCGTCATACAATCCTCAGCATTGCATGGTCTTCTATAGTGAAGAATACACATATGATCTGAAGTTCATAAACTGAATAGCTTCACACATACACACAGAGAGCTTGTTCCTAGTTATATCTAGAATGAATCTTTAAAGCAAACATTCGTGGGTCCTGAGGTACAAATGCAACAGTAGGCCCTCTTTTTCATATATTACATCCTTCTTAATCTTCTCAAAAATAAAGTACTCCACTTTCATTATAAAAAATGGTGGCACAGTGGGTTAAAGCACAGCACTAAGAAGCTAAAGCCACTTCAGCATGAGTTCGATCTCCGCCCCGGAGGTGTCCACCCTGGAGGTGTCCGCCCCGGAGGTGACCCACATGGCGCAGCAGACCTCTCCTGAGCCACCTGCTGCTCTCCTCAGCAAAATACTTCGTCAGTCAACCTGTTCTGCACCCCACTCTGTCTCTGGTGAATCCTTTCACTGCCCCCTGTACCTCTGGCTTGTAGCCCAGTTCTGTATGGATAAATAAATGAATCTTTAGGAAAAAAAAATGGACACTAGACTTAGAGACTAAGTGACTTGTCCACAGCTAGAGGCTTGTTTCACTGAGTGCTGACACGCCCGACTCACACACTATCAGGCTTAAGAATGGATAAACATATGTAAATTTACTACACAATTAGCACTGATACCCAGGCAACATTACACCACAGATTTTCCTCAATCTGAAAGGTGTTGGTCAGCCTATGTACTCCATGACAGTCCCACTTCAGCCACTGCTTCAGGTCCTAATGAGAGTTGTGTTGTGTTGTGTTGTGTTGTGTTGTGTTATAGAGGAATAGTCATCTCATAAGGGCCAAGAAAGATGACCAAACTGGACAATAAGATACAAATTTTACAGCAGTTCATTGCTCTACCAAAAAGAGGTAGTAGGGGAGATTCAGAGAAACTAAAGAAAGGTGTGTCGATTAAGTAGAGATCTTTGGGCATCAGAGCATCAGAAACATCCCTGAAGCTTCAGAAGATGAGCCAACAAAGCAGAGTGCTGCTGTAGGAAATGCCAGTCTGGGCTGATCTATAATTCAGAGACTTAGGGTAACAAAAGCAAGAAAACACAGCTGGACTCATTCCAGGAGCTGACCAAGAGGTTGGTTTATACAAAGGCATCCCCTCCTTAGGTTAAACTGCTTGTATATACAGGACAAGTAGCAGATGAGCAAACAAAACATAGGTCAGAAAATCCAAACATCATTTCTTTCTACTATATGCATGTTCCCAACTTAACCAAAAAGAATTTCTTTGCCCCAAAAAATAAGTGTTTTAGACAAAGAAGACAATAGTGTGGTTTGAAGAATCCTGATTTAAGCAAGTTACTGACAATTATCAGAATGGAAAACTAGCAATGTGGAACATCTACTCAACTTTAAATACCCAGATAAAATGTCACATCCTAGGGGACATCTTCTTAGGCACCATCATTATGTTGGATTCCCCTGTTCTCAGGTTCCTCCAGCTTCACCTTTTGTGAGATCTGTTATAGTTTTAATTAAATAACTGCTGGTGATAGTTTCCCTGACAAAATTCTAAACTCAGTGGAAGAAAAGCTATGGAGTCCTTGTCTATAATTGTTTCTCCCTAGCTGATATAGTATTAGGCATAGACAGGCAAATGTACTGAATAAATAACTATCATTACTAAGCTTCTACAAGGAAAATTTGCACTCTCATTTTAGTCATGGAATACCTCATTTCAGTCATGGATTATCCCTTAGAGTATGTGTTAACTCTATGTCACAAGTAAGAAATCTGCTTAGTCCCAGATAGCTTCTAAAAAATAGTGTAAGTGTGTGTGTGTACATGTGTGCATGCACACTCACACATGGTTACACATGTACAGATAGAGCTATCACCTTTTCAATGAAGCCTAGGCTGACCACCTATCTCATAAAAAATTACCTGAAACCTTTCTTACCACTCATATCCAATGTCCCAAATCCTTCTCATATTTTCTAAGTAATTTTCCTAAACATCTTTTTCTGTTGTTATTACTAACCTAGCTTAGGCTCCAATCACCGAGATATAACAATGTTCTTGAAAATGGCCTGTCTATATATCCAGCTTGTCCCCTATCAAGACCAAATAGCCAGAAGAGCAATCTGTTCCACTTCTCCACATTCACTAGGTTAGTGTCCTTTGAGTCCAAACTACTTGTCCTATCTATGCCTCCATTTTCTTATCTATAAAACATTATCAACAGACATTTTAGATAATGCCAGCATATCATATCATAACTGCTGCTTAAGAGAAGGGAGAAAATTAGATGAAGGAGGATACTGTATTATGGCTTTAACAGGAATGACTGTGATATCTGAAGCATAGTGAGGAGAGGGGAGGCCCTGGGAACTGACAGCAGTATTGCCTTAACTCACTCTGGGAATAGCTGGGGAGGCAAAAAAGATTTCTTGCTAGCAGATTACCATGGTTGAGCTTGCCAGGTTGAGCTGTTTACAATTAGTTAGACCAGGAGTTTCCTCTTCTACAAAAGGAACATAGTCTTAACTCCAGTTTAGGGTTGTTTAAGGATAAAGGGTCATAAAACAACATGGCACACTCTATTTCACCTCTTTTGTTTAAATTGGGTGGAGAGCCTATACTGAAGACCACTATTTTCCACTCAAAGGCAACTAATTTTAAGAACAGAACTACTAATAGAGACATAAGGATTTGAGGGCTTTTGCGTGCTTTAACTACTGAAAAGCACAAATGATTAAACTCTAAAGAAACATCAACTTATACACACACATTGGAAATAATGAATTTCATCTACTCATTTAGGAATGTACCCCAAAACTCCTACTAAAGAAACAACAACAAAATGTGATCATACTTTTTATTAACTCGGACTGGCCTTGTCTCATTTACACGTAAAATTGTAAAATTTGTTATTTTTTAAAATATATAAGGAATGGCCCTCCCTGGTGGCGCAGTGGGTTAAAAGCACAGCACTGAGAAGCTTAAGCCACTTCCGCATGAGTTCAACTCCCGCCTGCCCCGGAGGTGACCGCATGGCGTGGCAGACCTCTCCTGCCTCACCCGCTGCTCCCCTCAGCAGTGCACTTCGTTGATCTGCCTGTTCTGCTCCCCACTCTGTCTCTGGTGAAGCCTCTCACTGCCCCTGAGCCTCTAGCCTGTACCCCAGTTCTGTATGCACAAATAAATCTTTAAAATATATATATATATATATAAAAGAATGACAGTAAAATTAATCTCCCTACAACTTTATTAAAATAACCTTTAATTTGGACCCAGCTATCATTTATTAATAAACTTCTTTGAATTGTACTTTTTTAAAAGACAAA